TATGTAATCTACGTAAATGTCGAAAAACCGTTAGCTGTTACAATTTCGGAGACGTAAAATTCAAATTCGAAATCAGAACTCGAAACGCGTGAGAACGGTGAAACAAATTATAAAGTTTATTGACTTATTGCAAATAACCTGCGTTAAGAATGTCGAAACGGCCCTACTCAAAACGCCAGCTGTGCTAACACCAGCCGCCATCTTGTTTTTTTTTTCTTTTCAATAAATACGATTTCTTTCTCACCAGCGCCACTGGTGCAGTTTCCGCTTGCACTGTGAAATTAAAAAAGGTTTCAACAAAGAGCTCCGTCTCTGCGAAAAAATCAGTATAGATTGAATTTTAAAAAGTTAATCCTGACAAGTATGTCAAAAATTAAATAAAACGTGTTATTTTTTAATTTTCTTTGTAATTGTTGTAATCTACAATTTCTTTTTATGTTACATTTTTATATAGTTACACATACTTATATTTTGGTTATTTAACGGTTTAATTACATCGTCTAAAAATTCGATTTATTATCGTTATTAGCGAATTATCTTAAAATACTACAGATTCCTATTTTAGACTGCCGTTTTACGACAATAGCTATGATATAATTGCTCTTTATGTCAGGAGAGTTTAAAATCAATTTTTTTTAAATGTGTTATAGATGTAATTGCCCAATTGGGAAATAATTGACCGGCGCAGGCTTAGGGGTTCGATTGAGCAGCGCTGCGGAAATTTGACAAATCGCTTTCTGTTCTATACAATAGACCGGCACTATTGTCCAATTATCAAAGGTTTTATCTGAAGTGCATGTTCCAATTGTAGTATGCAGTTCCGATTACCGAGTTCTTTGTAGATTAAAAATGCTCACGACCGTTTCCCATAGGGGTAAGTAGACATGTAATGCCTATTGATTACTATATCAACGTTACGCGAATTTTAGCAACTTGCAATCTGTACCATACAGTTTTGTTGTGGTGATGTCTTTTTTTTATGATGTAAGGTGGCAAACGAGCAAGTGGCCACCTGAATCCACCGTAATGGAAAGCGTCCACTGCCCATAAGCATCCGCAATTGTAGATGCGTTGCCTACCCTTAATTGACGGAGGAGGACACGCGCATAAAGAGGACATTTCCCCTTCCTGTGCATCTCCTCCACTTTTTCTTGCTATCCTTTCATCTTAAGAAAAACGGTGGAAAGGTAAAGGGACTAAAATTAGTGGTGAGATGTCGTTTTACATATTAATTGTTTCCAAAACCATCATAAACCTATGATTTAAGAAGAAAAATAGGAAAAAAAAACTGAAAAAGTAGCTTTTGTCTGACAGACAGCGCAGTAATTAGACGTCACGATTCGCGAAGTCTTTTCAGTTTTCAGTGAAACTCCCGCAGCGACAGACACAAGTAAAGGCAAAGCTGGCGAAAAATTAATCAACATTTTTTTGTTAACATACTTTTGTGATTGACGGATTTGTTGACAGACTTTAAAAGAGTTAGAATGAGATAGTAAGAAATTCACGGATTGAATCTATACTATTATAATAAAGTGTAAACACACACTTCTTTGTTACCTAAGATTTCAGCAATTATAGCATATTTTTCAATAATTATTTCTTTAATGAAATGCCCTATACTTACGTCAGGCTTAAGGCTATATATTTTCACGACATTAAACTTAGGGGGTAAATATTTTAGATAAAAACCCTAATGTGGGAAAGAGACCATAAGTTGTTGCCAACATCAAGAAAGCAAGGTTGCTAAGGTTTGTCATGTCATGTCATTTTGACATTTGCAATTGATAATTTAACAAATGTGAACAATAAAATGAGATTTTTGTAATTTCATGCGGATGAAGTCGCATGGGAAAAGCTAGTATGAGAATATTTGTGTTGGAAAAATTGATAAGTTTTTGCGATTTAAAATTGAATAAATTTTTTGTTGATATTAGTGACAGTTTATATCAATTGCTTGCTGTTGGCCGCGACTTCGCCCGCGTGCATAAAAAAAAATCTTATGTTATTCACTGATAACGTAGCTTTTTAATGGTGAAAGAATTTTAGAAATCGGCCCAGTAGCTTTTGAATTATTTCAATAAGTACAAAGAGCGTCGGTGGCTTAGTGTTTTAAGCACTTGACCTGTAATATACAGGTCTTGAGTTCGAATCCAGTCATGTTCCAATGTGATTTTTTTTTTCGAATTTTATAGTACATAATTTACCCGACGTTCTTACGGCGAAGGACAACATCTTGATGCCAGCACATCTCGGCGAAGAAATTCAAAGATATGTGTGAAGTCAACCAACCCGCAGTGCAGCGTGGTTGACTATGGCCTAGTCACCCCTTATTAGGGTAGGCTCCGAGCCCGTCGATGAGGGTGTATAGTAAGCTGGTTATGATGATGATATTAAAATACAAATCTTTCCTCTTTATAATACTTCCCTAGTCAGGAAAAAAACTTGTATAGGTATCTAAACTATCGTAATCATAGCTGCATTTTATAATTAGAGTGTTTTTTTTATAACATTTTATAACATAAGGTGTCAAACGAGCAAGCGGCCACCTGAAATCGCCAAAATGGCGAAGCGACCGCTGCCCATAGACATCCGCAATTGCAGATGCGTTGCCTACCCTTATACGACGGAGGAGGAGACGCACATAAAGAGGATATTTCCCCTTCCTATGCATCTCCTCCACCGTCAAATCCACTTCCTCTTCCCAACCTCTCTTTATAAGAAAAGGGTGGTAAAGAGAAAGGGACTTAAATTAGGCTTCCGGCACCACACTCATCAGACGAAACACGGAATTGCTTCCATTTTACGCCTGTCTTCTGTGTGGTGGTATTACACCGGGCGTGCCGGCCTATTCGTGCTAAGATGTTAAAGCGGGCACTACCACTGTGTTTGGTCAATAATGCATTCGGTATCTCGGTTTAAATCTGCACGTCGTAAAACGAATTGTTGTTGCAAAATATTTGGCAAACATATGACTATTTTCAATGGTTATTTACAAAATATTAACTACTCTAATTGTAGAAAGGAAATAGATTACATACTAGCATTTACTCCGGTTTCTTTTATGGAGAAAATTACGTTTTCTAAGACGTATCACAGCTTAATTCTTTAACTATATTTGAATTGCCTCTCATATCTCTATTTAAAAACTAGCTGTCGCCTGCAAACTTCGTTAGTGCAGAATATTCCCGTGTGCAACTACCTTTTACTGGCTACCTTTCAGTCAAAGTCCCGTCCAAATAGGTCCACTCGTCCCAGAGATAGCGGACCGGTCGCCATTTTGACAGCGCGGAATTAAAAAAAAGTAGCCTATAATATGCCCGTTTATTTCAGCTACCCTTCGGAGAAAGTCCTGTCGAAATTGGCCCAAACGTTTCGAAGATTACCCGTAACAAACGCGGCTTGCGGATAGACAGACAGAAAAAAAATATATCTTCCCGACATATTACAGACACTCCAATTTTATTATACATTTGTATAGAAAGGCTATGCTAAATTGAACACTGGTAAAAAAGTTACAAACAAAACAATTCTCTACACTGTGGTTGGCTAATTTGGTGCAATGCCATCGAATAGTTATTACACCATAAGCCTGATCACGTTGCGTAAAATCAATTCTGTTCTCTATAGAATTTAAAATGGCATTTCAGTCGCCATGTTTCTTAATAACTATAGGTGAAACGTGATCTTTGAAAATCACTTTTAGTTAGTAAAAGTTTATGTTAAGTTTATTTACTATTAAGAAAGAGGTTAAGTGTACATTAATTGCCAATCTAATATGTAAAGGAAACCCTTAGGAAGTTAACAGTAAGCGATGAAATAACTCAATAGGTCCCTTAGTTATAAGCAAAGAGATTCACTAAGACTTTGTTTTCATAATCACAATATATCTATTGACATAACCTAAAAACCAAATATCTGTATAATTTATTATATTTAAATTAATTGTCAATAAGTGTCGTTAAATATTATTTAAATCTTTATATTTTATTTTGTGACACTGTTTAGTTTTTTTAACAATAGATGGAGCTTATTATAATTTTGTAAAATGTTAATGTAAGAACACGAGATGGCCAGATTAATCTTGACAACTGATATATTACCTGTCAGAGAAATTACCAGTATGAATTAAGATATGAAAAAGTTTGCAGTAATATCGTGATGAATGCAGGTCAATGAGGATTGGAATTTCCGATACACCTTTATCCAGAAATTCCTAACCTCCTTGCAGTGTTACCACATTCTTGCTGCATCGTAAGACAGCTAAATGATGACACATTCTCGAATATTCCATCCAATATGGCGGACTGCCTCAGCGTCATTTCGGAACATTTATTAATCTCATGTTTGTATATATCTTACTAATATTATAAATATTAATTTAAGATAGATAGATGGATGTTTGTTAGAGTTTGTGAGAGCTGAACGGATCATGATTAATGGCATGATAGTCTGGAAGAATATAGAATAGTCGCCTTTGTTTTTTTTAAATCCACTCGGATGGAGTCGCGGGCAAAAGCTAGTTAATCTACAGTGGTAGAGTCCGGTTTAACATCTACGCACGAATAGGCCGGCTCGCTCCTTGTAATACCACGACCACACAGAAAACAGGCGTGAAGTGGAAGCAATTCCAGAAAAGTGGAATTGTCGGTGGAGGAGACGCATAGAAAGGGGAAATGTCCTTTTTATGTCCGTCTCCACCTCCGTCAATTAACTGCAATTGCGGATGTTTATGGGCAGCGGTCGCTTTCTTGCTCGTTTTCCACCTTATACTATAAAAAAAACTTTTAGAACTGTGTGATTTGGGTTGCATACAATATCTGTAATAACTGTTAACTACTGTGATGTCTGTACTAATATTGTTTGTCTCTGATATAATATTAAAAGGGATTATAATCAAGTGATTACACAATAGATATACGCTGTACTTACTAAACTTGATATTAAGTTGTTCTATTTTTGTTTTGAGAAGGTTTGTTAATTGTTTTTTTGTTTATTTGTAGGTTTCCATTTGAGCGGAGTAGTGCGAGCGCCAGCCGCGGTCCCTCCTTGTTCAGAACCTGAAAGATTGTTCCGGGTTACGGTATCATTTGACAGGTAAATACTTCTAACTAATTTAAAAATATAGCCTACGTTTACAGATAAACTACCTTTCTGATGGTAAAAGAATTTTTAAAATCGGTCCAGTAGTTTTTGCGTGAATCAAATACAGGCAAAAATACAAAAGTACAAATCTTTCTCTTTTATGTAAATACGGCATTGGAAGTGTTCGATATTCTGGTTTGTGACACTTACGGCCGGATATTGAAACGAATTTTAAATACTTCGTATTGTAAAGGCTTACAATCCGCCAGACATTGGTTTTATAAAAGCATGGCCTTATCATTTACGCTATTACATGTTTTTATTTCTTTCGCTTCGTATGATATAAAGAGGAAAGATTTGGATTTTTGTATGTATTGAAATTTAAAAAAAAACTACATGACCAATCACAAAAATTCTTGCACCATTAAAAAGCTATGTTTTCACTGTAACATAGGCTATATTTTTTACATTTTTTATTATTCTACATGGACAAAATCGCGAGCAACAGCTAGTATTACTATATATTGATGTTTCTTTCTATTCAAAGAGAAACAAAAGAGAGAAAAAGGATTCATACCCACAGTTAAGCCTACACTTTATATCTTCATACAATATAGTGCCAAAAGAAAGACAATTTCACACTAAACACGCAAATGGTCGAGCATTGTTAGCGAACCAGTATAAAAAGGAACTCATTAAAACGAAGGACCAAGCAACATAATAGTCTTTGTATTCACACTTCGCTGGTTTTTTGTAACATTCGATTGTATCGGTAATGTTTAAAGAAACTTCGAAAGTTTGGTTATCACGGCCGTTGCAACGTCTAAGAGTACGCATACAAAACTAAACTATCGCACAACTTTTTAGTCACGCTTTGCGAACAGTTGAATTTGCTCCGAAACAATCGACAATCGCACAACAATTGCGATAGTTTATTCAAAGGTCTGCTCACTCTCTTACTCGTTTGTTTCTGTTGTCGAGTCTTGAATCTCTAAACATATTTTATTACATGTTACAAGCAGTATTTCTCAAATTATCTATACTAATATAGAGGCAGGATTTGTTTGTTTTAAAAAGGCTCAGGAATTATTGAACCGATTTGAAATCCTTATCTATTATTATTAATATAGCTATTTTAGACTACGCTGGGTAATATAATAAAGTATTTATAAAGATAATAATTTACTATGACTTTGTTATAACCTATTTTATTTACAGGTGTAAAATAACCGGTGTGACATGCAGCTGCGAAGCACGCGACATCTTCTGGTGCCAGCACGTGGTTGCACTTGCCCTCTACCGGATTAGGAACGCAGACTCCGTACGCCTGCGAGTGCCTATATCAGGTAATGGATATTGGTAACATGGGTAGGAATCGCGTCGCATAAAACCTTGCGTCTTTATGATGTCCTGGTACTTCTCAAGTCGATCACTGACTGTCCATGTGAGAGTCAAAATGGCGGGTGTAACTTGATTTCGTTATATACGTTCTAGAGATAGTACATTTTTTTTGAGCGAGGTACTAAATAGTACATTTTAGGCACATTTTTTTAGTAAATGGTACAATTTAATTCGCAATGGTACACCTGCCATTTTGACTCTCATGGACAAGTGTCCATGGCCAGTGTTAAGGTAGGTGCGGTTTGACGACTGCATATGGTGGACGGAGAGGACCACAGGTTACATAGTCTCTAAAGTGCTAAAGAAAGGACATAGATATGTCGTTCAGAGCAGTAAAACCGTTGTTAACTGCTATTATAGCCTACCCAAAAATATACCAACCGCCTTCCTTCGCAAAAGAATTGGTTTCACATGCGCAATGCAGCGAGGTTTTATTCCTAGTCAAGCTATACATTCGTTTACCGGTTACAGAAACCCTGCTGCAAATGGACCGTCAGCAATTACAGAAGTTCGTCCAGTATCTGATAGCGGAACACCATACAGAAGTATTACCTACAGCACAGCGGTTAGCAGATGAAGTGTTACAGGCGCGCTCTGCTATAAACAGGATCTGTGGCGCGCCCGACCCTACTGCTGGTCCGCCGCCTGATGCTCACCATGCTTGGCATCTGGATGAGCAGCAGGTAAAATAATTTTCCAGTAGAACACGTAGTATATCAAATTTACAGTAAACCTCTACAACGTATCAAGGATGGTTCCGCGTTGTAGAAATCCCGCTTATAACTGGGCAAGTCCATAACGTTATAGGGGTTCTTTTAAAAAATGTTGGCAACATTAGCGTTATACGGGGTAATTTTCACGTTATATGGGGGTACAACATTCTCGTTGTAGGGAGGTTTAATGTATTTATAGTTGGACAATATGTGTAAACCACTCACTACGATGTCAAGATTTAGTACCTATTTACTCAATACTGGATGACAATTTAGTAGATTTCAAGTTTCTAGTAGAAATTATTTGGAAGCTTTTGTTCTTTTTAAAATATACTCGATAAATTAAATCTAAATAGAGTCTGTATATCCGCAATTATTGACAGTCTTCATGATATTATTTCCAGGTGTGCGAACAGGTCCGGGCATATTTACTACAGGGAACCTACTACAATGCTAATAAACAGCTAAACTCCTTGTTTTCTAAGGTATTGTTAAATTACTTTAACTCCAATCTAACATAATATACAGCGGTAGTGCCCGCTTTAACATCTTAGCACTGCAGGGCTGGCACGCCCCCAGTAATACCACGACCACACAGAAGATAGCCGTCAAATGGAAGCAATTACGTGTTTCGTGTGATGTGTGGTGCCGGAGGCCTAATTTAAGTCCCTTTCTCTTTACCACCCTTTTCTTATAAGGAGAGGTTGGAAAGGGGAAGTGGATTAGACGGTGCAGGAGATGCATAGGAAGGGGAATTGTGCTCTTTATGTGCTCCTCCTCCGTCGTATAAGGGTAGGCAACGCATCTGCAATTGCGGATGTCTATGGGTAGCGGTCGCTTCGTCATTTTGGCGAATTCTAGTGGCCGCTTGCTCGTTTGCCACCTTATGTTATAAAAAAATGTAAATGCGAAAAATTTGATGGATGGATGTTTATCAGAGTTTATAGCCTAGATTGCGGAACGGATCTCAATGAAATTTGACGTAGATATAGAGGATGTTATGGAAGATTACATAGGTTACTTTTTTTTTTTTTGATGACACAGGAGAGTAACGGTTGCAAAACACCTCGGTGTTCTCGCCGCTCGTTTGCCCCTTTTTATAATAAAAAAAACATTTTCAGGTGCGAGAAATGTTACGAGCTCAAGACTCAAACGGTCCTCGTATGCTGATGCTGATGACGGAACAGTTCCTATCAGACCCTCGTCTGCTCCTGTGGAGGAACCAGAACACTCCAATGACGGAGAAGTGCCGACAGCTATGGGAGCAGCTTGGCGCGCTCTGGGTCAGCATAGTGCTGGACCCTGGCAGTAACAAGCACCACAGACATCAATGGAGGCAACTGCTAGACAAGTGGTCGGCAGTAGAAGTGTGCCCTACAGAAGATCCTGATTATAGGTCTTTTCCTTTGGTGAGTAATGTAATTTGTAGATCTCATGTAGAGACGCCCAGGGCTTTGGTCAGAAACCTGAGTCCCAGTTAGCGAATTATTTTCACATAAATCTTCTCCCCTTAAAAAAGACTGCTCAGAGCTCTAGAAGTAATAAAATAATAATAATAAATCCTTTATTACTTCATTTTAAAAAAATATATACATTTCATGAGTGTCTTGGCTCCTGCACTAGGTTCCCCTGTGCTGCAGGAGCCAATCCCTTTTCCCATTCGTAAAGAGCAATACATATTCATAAGTGTCTAAGCATGAAATACAAAGAAAAACATTTAATAGCTAGTTAATTCCCCTTATAGTTTTTCATATAGTAATTACGAAGAGTTTGATACAAGTAAATAAAGTGAAGTTAACAACTAATTTATTATATATCCAAATATACGGTAAGAAAGCATTTAAATCGTAAAGACAAGCATCAGTTAACTGTAACAGAGAATTAATTCAATGTAATCCATTGTGATAATGCTTAAGATATTAGATGTTTATTTATCTGTTTTCTTTTTCCAGTACGCGAGAGAAAGGGAAAGAAACGAGAGAGATCGCGACAGAGATCACAGAGATAGAGATAGAGAGAGACATCGTGATCGGGAGGAGAGGGATAGAGAGAGACTGCGTGAGAGAGAAGAAAGAGACAGGTATAAACACAATACTTTCTTGCTTTCTTTAGCTTGTGCATATGTTGATATTGATTTTTGTTATTTTATTTCAGAGAAAGACATAGAGAAAGACAAAGAAGAGATATGCATTCCAATTCAGAAAGTTCTGATGAAGAATCTAGGCCTAATAAGTAAGTGGAATAAGAATTATTCTTATTCGAACTATAATAAAATAATCATAAATAACTTATAAAAATGTTAATCTCTTTTCCAGTTATGAGAGAGAATACAGGAGAGCGAGTAAGAGACTTAGGTTGCACAATCAGAGACCTCCGCCACAAACAACGCCACGGACTGTCTTTCACAAGTTAGTCTTTGAACATTTTTATCCTTTTAAATCTTATTAATATTATAAATGCGTTAGTTTAAATGGATTTATGTTAGAGTTTGTAGTCGAAATTTGGCATAGATGTAGAGGATAGTCTGAAATACATAGACTACTTTCTTTTGCTTTAATTCCACGCGGAGTCGCGGGCAAAAGCTAATAGGACAATAGTTTCAATATAACTGTCTCTCCAGGGCGTTGGACGCGGTGGATATATCTTGGGAGAGCGAGCACTTGAAGAACATTCTCAGCAGCGATGAATATTGCGACCCTGAGAAGCCGGACAAGGAGGGAGGTGCTGGCCCCGCCCTCACCCCCGCCCTACAACCTTACCCTAAATTCAACGACCTTGGACAACCCTTGTGGCATGGTTAGTGACTCAGCAGTGGTTAATTTAACATGTACACATTGTAGGGAACACTTGCCATATACAATACCACGACCACAAAATACAGGTGTCAAATGGAAGCAAATTTCATCTTATGATTGTGTTCGCTGGATGAGGGATTTTACCACCCTTTTCTTATAAGGAAAGGATGGGAATGGAATGATTGATGGTGGAGGAGGTGCGAGGTGCATAGGAAGAATAAATATCCTCTTTTCCGTCCTCCGTCAATTAAGGGTAGGCAACGCAACTGCAAATATGGATGTCTATTGGCAACGGTCGCTTCGTTTTTTCGCCGGATTCGTGTGATGTTCGTTCGTTTGCCACCTTATAAAACAAAGTATATTTGAATGTTCTATTCTCTAAACTGTTTATCACACATTTACAAAGAGAGAAAGGTAATAATGATATAACGTGTTGCAGAGCATCTGCCGGTAGTGGGCGCGCGTATCGAGGCGCTGCGCGCGCACGGCCGCGCCCCCGCCGCACTGCGCCTCGCCGTCAGCGCCGCGCGCGCCATGCGACATAGACAGGTAACTTATCTAGTTATCAAAAGTAACTGAGTATATTGAAAGCGTAAATCTCCAATCTCTGTCTATACTAATATAAAAATGTAAACACACTTTGTATGTATGAGGTAAGTAATCACAAATCACAAAATTTTAAATGTTAATTTTTTAGTAGAAACAATCCTGATCCTAACATGACAATTGTTAGCCAATAGCAAAGGCCTTCGTTGTCATTTAAGTGTTTGAATATTGTTATTTGCAAATGAAAGTCGAACGAAATGTAAACAAGTAAACCAGTATTTTATTTTAAAAACACATTTGGAGTTGGTAAATTTTGAGGCTGTTTTACAATATGTCTTAAAACGTGGATGGAGGCGCACCGGAACAGTTACTGTTTGTAACTAACTCGAAGGACCAAAGGTGATGGTGTTGTTGTGTCTGTGCAGGAGGTGGCG